GTCTGCACTGGTGTGGACGGTGTGAAGACGGGTGGTGGGCCTGATGTTGATTCCGGTGTTAGTGTCGCTGTGGGAGGACTTATGGGCCTGTCTATGTCGACTCCGGGAAAGCCGTCCTGAGGAAAATAGTTGTGCAAAATGTCGCCCACCGGAGGAGGGTGGTATTTGACGATGCGCAGGAGTAGTTCATTCTGCAGATGAGCGACATGTCGGGCTCGTGGACACCGTCGCATGTGCTTGGCCACGTCCCACTTCCATTTGGCTCGGTAGACGCAGTAGCAACAGCCGAACATCCGATGCTCCGAGTGGTTGACCATGTGAGCTCTCAGCTCGCTGAACCAGCGGGCGTCGAACTGGCACACGGGGCAGATGATGACGCCCTCGCCCGACACACCGCCACCCACACCCACACCCGCACCCACCAGAGCCGACTCGAGCCCCAGCCGGGCGCAAAGGCCGGCCGACGAGGCCGGACCTGGTGAGAAGTCGGCCGGAGCCGCCGGAAGGGCGTTGCGAGCGCTGAGGCGGGACTTACCCGACGGCCCGGAGCCCATGGACCCGGCGAGGGGGTGTCTTGCGGCGACGCCCATTGGTTCGTTCGACAGCCGGCCGACGGAGCTCGCCTGGCCCACCAGCCCGCCGGCCGGGCTGCTGTGTCGGGCGAAGAGGCGAGCGGACGTGTAGCTGGTGTGGCCGATGTGGCTGGTTGCTGGCGTAGTTGCGGCGCTATTGCTGGCGTTGGTGGTCGGCGTCGTCGGTGTTGCCATTGGCGTCGGTGTCGCTGTCGGCGTTGGAGTGCGGCAACCGGCAAAGAGGCCGGGGCTGGCGGAATAGGCTGAGAGGTGGCGGCTCACGGCTGGCGTCAGGCAGTGGGCCGACTGTGGCGTGGAGAGCAGTCCACTGCCGAGCGGTTGCAGGGACTGCAGCGGAATGCTGCCTGTTGCCGAGGCGGCGGTGTTGGTGACGCTGGCGGTGTTGCAGTGTGACGGCAGCGCCTGCTCGTAGAAGGAGAGCAGGTTGCTGGCACTGAATTGCCCGAAGCCCGGAATCGGCGGAAAGAAGTGACCTGCGAGTGGTCCCACCGAGCTGACCACCGGCTCCAGGTTGCCTGGTCCCTGAGGCCCAGTAGTCATGGTGACCGTGTGGTCGGAGTGTGTGAAGCTGCTAGACGACGGAAAGACGAGTCCGCCGTGTGAGGCCGCAGCCGCGGCTACCGCCGAGATCCAGACCTCAGAGACGAGTCCCGAAAAGGCCGGATCCGGCGGAGAGGAGACCGGAATGCCGGACTGCGGAGGTGCCGATGCCTGCGGCAGGACAAGAGAGAGCGGCAGGGTGGGAGTGGCGGTGGCGGTTGCCACGGCCGAGGGTTGAGGGAACGGTAGCTGGGCGTCGGAGGAGGAGATCGAGGAGGCGGCAGAGGAGACGGAGGAAGCAGAGCAGGAGGAGGTGAAGGAAGAAGTGGAGAGGATCGGATGACAGGCTGGCGGCAACGTGCGGCCGCCGAACTGTTGTCCTCCGGCCGGCTTCAGATCGAGCGCGTCGCCCGTCATGCTGGTGAGGATGCTGCCGACGGTGTGGAGCAGACTGACCGCGGCACCGGACAACTGGAGCCCGGACCGCTCCGTCGCTTCGCCGGCAATTTCGGCCTCCAAAGTGTTCACGGCTGTCTGCAGGAGGATCTTCAGC